AGTTACATATTTTCAGGGGCGTGCATTTCAAAATACAATTTATATGCCCTCTTAGATTTCTTATCTAATAGCTTCGTTTCAGAAGGAAAAATAAGAGCCAAACCTTTGCATGTCTCTAAACCCAATGGAAGAATCATTCTAATGCATTCAATCTAGTTAGCATTGGCCGTTTACCAAACCAATCATGTAACCATTGCAAATCAATCATTTACGTATTAGAAGAGCCACAACAGGCCATAGACCGCAGTGGATATCCTGCTATTTGTTTTCAATGTTGCCGAGCTATTACATTTTTACTAGTTAGTTTTTGAGACATAAGGTGTCAAAAGTACGCTTCAGAATAAATATAGTTTTTTAATCAAAAAACGGTTCAAAATGAATCAACGAAATTTTTCACAGATATTAAACTTTTTGAGCTTCATTAGATTAAATAAAAATTATTCATGAAAAATATTCAGTGGCGTCTGAATCTGGGGTGGCGAAGGAAAAAATTATTGTTCAACAATAAAACTTTTAAGGAATAAAATTAGGTGAATATCAATAAAAAACAAAGGAATGCATTAGAGGAATTGCTCAAATTGCTGTCCGCCAACCTCTATGCATTTTCTGCAACGTCTTATCATAGAACCAACTGCACATGAAATTTGTATTGGGTTCAACTTCATTCGATTGAAAGCTTCATTAATTCTTTCAACTAATTGTTTTCTTGAAGCAATTGGTACTTTATGAACCTTATCTTTAATTGCTCCCCAGACATAGAAATCCAAAGGATTAAAGTCTGGTGACCTAGGTGGCCAAGCAACTGGTCCTGAACGACCAATCCAACGATCTGGATAATTTAAATTTAAATGAAAAATAATTACCCGGAAAATTTGTGTAATTATTACCTTCGCCACCCCAGATTCAGCCGCCACTGAATAGTTTTTATGAATAATTTTTATTTAATCTAATAAAGCTCAAAAAATTGAGTATCTGTGAAAAATTTCGTTGATTCATCTACCGTTTCTTGATCAAAAAAATATATTCAGAAGCGTATTTTTGACACCCAATATCTCAAAAACGGAGCGTTTGAAAGTATATATTCATAGGAAGCTTTTTTTATTATTTCAACGAGTACTATATACGCTGTTGAATTTTCCGTATTAAAAAACGGACCACCCTGTATATTGCTGCATGAATCTGTCTCAAACAATACAAACTTCTGCATACAATAACAGCAAACACCAACGACTCAAGGGACGGAATACATGACGAACAGAAAATAGAGAACATGAAACAAAGTTAGCGATGGCATTTACATTCAGGCCACTAGATACATTATGGATATCCATTGAAAAGGTGTCACTAGTAATCCATTGGATGATAATTATTTATGTTTATCCAATGGATGTACAATTCATGTTCATGAATATCCGGTGTTATAACTATTATTATTTATTTTCAAAACTCGTATTTTCATATATATCTTTATTTGACAATGCCTGACAATCCACAACCACAGATCCTCATATTTTTCTTATACCATAGGTTCCTAAATAATAATATATATAACATCTCCCTTTTTTTTAGGAAAGCAAATCTGTTTCACATAATATGTTCAAACCTCTGTGGAGGTTTGGATGTCCTTCCTGATCGTGTCTGATAAAATGTATTTTCAGATGGTGGCATTCCAGATGTAGACGGAAAATTACCAATCTCAACATTTTCATCTGGACTGATATCAATATTTTCATTTTCTATGTTTTCACTAAAACTTTCATTCTTTTGTGAACTTCCATGCTCAACATCATTTTCTAAATTATCATCTTCATTCCCATTCATACAAAAAAAGGTACATTCATTGATTTTCGTATATCAAAATTATTTCTCCTTTTTACTCTTCCATTTTCATCCTCAATCAAAACTGATCGTGGTGCAGTATGATTTTGGATTACTTTCGCAGGTTCCCACCTATTGTTATTTCTATATACCACATTATCACCAGGACCATATGAGCATACTTTTCTTTTTGAATTTTTATCATAATAAAATTTATTTCTTTCGGCTACTTTGTCTAATGTTTCTGTGAAATTTTCAATAATAACAGGTTTCAATAGATTATTTTTTATTGGTAACTTAGTTCTTGTTCTTCTACTGAATAGAATTTGAGCTGGAGAATAATTGTGTCCAGTGACTGGCATATTTCGATATTCCAAAAGCATAATTTCTTTGTCTATGTTACCCTCAATTGATTTTTTCAGTATATTTTTACAGATACCGACAGCTTTTTCTGCAAGGCCATTACTTTTCGGATAATATGGGCTTGATGTTTTTATTTCAAATTGCCAATCCTTACTAAAATTTCTAAATTCGAATGAATTGAAAGGCATATTATCTGCGACTAGTATATTGGGTATTCCGTGAATTGAGAATATAGTTTTCAAAGACTTAATAATGGTACCGGAATTTTTGGATGATAATTTAACGAGTTCTATCCATTTTGAAAAATAGTCTATAAGGACTAAATATGATATACCCGAAAATTCCAGGATATCACATGCTATTTTTTCAAAAGGATATGAAGGTGATTCTTGTATAATCATAGGTTCCTTCACATTCCTTGATTGGTATTTCTCGCAAATACCACACTTAGTGATATAATTTTCAATGTCATTGTCCATACTAGGCCAATAAAATAATGACTTTGCTCTACTTTTTGTTTTCGATATACCAAAATGTGACTCATGTAAATTTTTCAATACCTTTTGTCTCAAACGAAAAGGAACCATTATCCTATCCTCCATATAAACCAATCCATCTTCAACAAAAATCTGATTTCGTTTATTGAAGAAAAATTTCAACATTTCATCTACCTGAGATTTTGAATTTGGCCAACCATTATTATAATACTCAATAATTTTTTTTAGAATTGGATCAAGTTCAGTCTCTTTCTGGAATTCTGTTTTGTATGCATTACTCATATTGATAGTGTGGACAACATCACTCAAACATGAATCTGTATTCGTTTTATCTGCTTTTGAGCAAGCTCTGGAAATTGCATCAGCAATAAACATTAATTTTCCTGGTTTATACACTAGGTTTATATCATATCTCATTAATTTCAATCTTATTCGTTGCAATCTACTAGATGGAATTTTATTAATTTCTTTTTTCATCAAACTCACCAATGGCAAATGGTCAGTGTGTATTGTAGTTTTTCTTCCATAAATATAATGATTAAATTTGATACAAGAATATAGCACTGCCAAAAATTCTTTTTCAATTTGACCATATCTAATTTCAGTTTCTGATAAGCTCTTAGAAGCAAAACATACTGGTTTTCCTTCTTGGAGAAGTACACAACCTATCCCCGTTTTACTTGAATCAGTTTGAATAACTATCTCTTTCGAAGTATCAAAATTTTGAAGTACTTGACCCGAAGTAATTATAGATTTGAGCATATTGAAACATTTTGTGTGCGTATCTAGCCATTGAAAAATTACATTTTTCTTCAATAGTTCCCTCAAAGGACTCGATAATTCTGATAAATTTGGAATGAAATTTCTTAGATAATTTATTATACCCAAAAATCTCTGAAGAGAAGTTTTATCATGAGGCATATCATATTCACATATAGATTTTATACGGTCTTCGTCAGGCCTCATTGTACCTTCAGTGAATTTATGACCTAAATATCTAACTTCATTAACGCGACATTGGAATTTTGTTTTGTTAAATTTGATGTTATTATTTTTAGCCCTCGACAATGGGAATGAAGATGATAATTTAGAAAATGATGTTGAGCATGGAAGTTCACAGAAGAATGAACGTTTTAGTGAAAACATAGAAAATGAAAATATTGATATCAGTCCAGATGAAAATGTTGAGATTGGTAATTTTCCGTATTCCTGTATGATTTGCTGATGTTCATCCCCGACTGATTGGAATTTTCATTTTCTTCTTTCTTTGTTGGTGTTTTTTGCTTCTCTATTCTGTTTATTTCTGAAGTTTGAATTTCCTTTGTTTGTTTTCTTACTAATTCAGCTAATCTAATTGTGTCTATAGCTTCTTTTAAAGTAACTGACCCTTTCTTTATTAGCTTTTGTTGTGATTCACGATCTCTTGAATCCAGAACCACTTTGTCCCTGAGCATATCATCTGGATCTTTGAATTCACAATCTTGACACAACCTCCTTATGTCCATTAGGTATGAATCAAATGGTTCCATTTCATCATGTTTTCTACTGTAGAAAAGGAATCTTGAATGAAGTATATTTCTTCTTGGTGAACAGTACTCTTCAAATGCTTTCAAAACTTCATCTATGTCTTTCTTCTTCTCGTCCTCCAACTTCAATGAATTGAATAACTTCACTGATTCTTGTCCAACAACATTCAGAAATATTGCTACTTGCCTTTCTTTCGTTTCTTTATCGAAAGCAGATGCGACAAGATATATTTGAAAAGCTTGTTTGAAACTTAACCAATTTTCCTTCAAATTTCCATACAGCTGGAGTGGTGGTGGAATATTGAAATTCAAAGCCATAGTCAATATTTCTTCCGAAGGTTCTTACTGCATCGACTGCGCCATGTTATAACTATTATTATTTATTTTCAAAACTCGTATTTTCATATATATCTTTATTTGACAATGCCTGACAATCCACAACCACAGATCCTCATATTTTTCTTATACCATAGGTTCCTAAATAATAATATATATAACACGGAACTTCTTTGAATTTCCTTTGGAATAGTGTCGGTGGTATTCCATTGGATAGGCATTTTGGTTCATCCAATGGATTTACATTTTTTGTCCATGGACATCCGAGACTTTTTTGGACCTAACATGAACATCCATTGGATGGCCTCTGTTATTAGGGTCACGCAAAAACATCGAAAACTGGACACACTGTACTACATGTTGGACAGAAAAAAAATCAATCGGTCAACAAATAAAAAAATACAATGGTAGTGCTGCTCAAAGTTGGAGACCCTGTAGGTACCTATCGATATTCACTTACCTGATCAGCTCCTGATGTTCCATCACAATATTTCTCAGACAATGGAATGTTGATTCATTCCTACCATTACTGTACATCTCAAAATTTTCAAACTTGTATCCCAAGATGTCAACTCTTGCAGTAGCGAAATTCACCATCGAAATGAACAGGGAATCAATCATAATTATAAACCAGGGTAACCAAATACCTACGATGTATTGAAAAAAGTACGCAGCATTGAAATAAGTTGGATCCGTTATATCGAATGGAAACCAACCACTGTAGATGAGCGACTTGCTTTCCGTTGAGTTTCCAACATTCATCAGCTTCCACTCGTTCAAATTGGTGATCATGAACATAAAGCCAGTACAGAACATGATAAGAGACACTAAGAAAAATATCTTGTAGTTGTATCAGGAATTTTTGTTGTATATTCGCGTACATTCTAGGTCATCGTCTGTGATGTCGTACTCGAACTCGTACACTTCTTTGATTATATCCCGAATGCCTCTGGTGTAGAATAACACCAATTTCAATAGTAAAAGGAAGCTGAAGAGGAACGTTTGCATGTTTATATTGAATGTTACGTCATCTACCCCATTCTTTAGTACATCTTTCATGCCCACAAGGAGCGACAAGACGAACAACGTGTAGTAGCCTTGTGAAAGAAAAGACCAAATCTTGTATGGAAAGGATGAGTTCGTCGTTCCGTTCTGTATATCGAATGCTCCAGCTATTAGCAAGGCGTACCTTGTGTACTTGAGGATGCTTTGACAGTCGCTCATTTTGGTGAAAAATTGCATCAATTAATAATTGATAAATTATGATATCAATAACTTAGGGACACATATCTTCCTTTGAAGATTCAGGGCTCTCTTTTCATTCCTATTTGGACTACTATAGTAGTAAACCGAAAAACTTCCAATATTGTGAAGGAATAAAATATTCGCATCCTTCACTAAGGCGGGTATCGACACATCATACCATCTCCTGTTTGATATGTCGATATTATAATATATTCAGTGAATTGTTCATATTGTGATATCTGATTGTAGGTTAATCTGCGATTATTCGTCAATATTTTAATAATTCAAAAATGGTGAGTCAATATAGTGCGTCAGAGCTCGTTTGCTCGAGTTCTGTGATAGCTAGAAACATAAATCAAGAACGGATGTAAATAAGACAACAAGGTCGACCATAACTGGGAATTATTTTCGCATATACAGGGGACTCTGAAGAAAACTAGAGAGTGGGGGCAATTGTATTTCATCTTTCTCCCTTTTTCAATATCAATTAAAATGTATCCACCTATCACCTCGGTGGCCAGGTAGCCGTGCGGACAGAGTGTCTATATTCTAATTCGCATTCGCTTGCCGGTCGTGGGTTCGATCCCCGTCGACTGCAGAAATTTTTCTGATGGCCCAAGAAAGTGTTTGGGATCACACGTTAAAAGGTAAGGACCCCGTCATTCCTTGCTCGCACAAGACTTTCGAAGACTTTTGAGGGTTGCTCGTAAGGGGGCAACCGAATGACGGATAGAACAATTTTTAGAACAATCTATGATGTATGCAGTGATGTATATTAGTTCGTGTGTAGGTATATGCCTACCTAGATACTTATAATAATCTGTCAAATATTTCAAATGTTCACAGGAACTCACTTTGACATGTAAAATAATAAAAATTCACATTAATGGCAATGAGAAATACATTTATCTTAATCTATATCTATCTATCTATTTATCTATATATTCATCTATCTATCTATATCTAACTATCTAACTTTACCTATTAGAGCCTATCACTCGATTGTATAAAATAAGTGTGGAGGGAGTTTTTGTGAATTGTATCTCCGACCTATATTATATCATTATTCTTCAATTATTTTAGGTTTGTAAAGATTTGTATTTTCACCTAATGATATTGAATCGAATATGAATAACATTATTTTGTTTCTCATTATTAATTCGAGAACTTATATTGAAAGCAAAAAGGAGAATATACAAGCCTGCATAAAAACACGTGTTTGTACTTTGTGAACAATATATATACACTTTTTGACAAAAGAATATATGTATAGTGTACAGTCTGTCCAAGATGAGGTTGAACAGCATGGGGATCTCGGAAACGGTAGGAGATACAAAGTCGTTTAAATGGGGAAAAAGTTGCGCATTCGGAGGCTCATGTCAAGTGCCTTCGGAAATTTCGAAAATTATTTTTCGTTTTTGAGTTATATCGAAAAAAGTGAATTTTTGGAATATCTTTTTTATTTTTTTTCTCCGTTATTATTAGAGATACAGAAAAACTGGAAATGAATTCCGTAGCAACTTTTGATGACGTTTAACTTGGTGATACCGATTTTTTTATGCGACGTTTCGCATCCGTAGAACCATCATCAACTTTTGTTTTTTGAATACGGTCCTGATAATTTTTTCACAGTTTCTGAAAGGTTTGTTCATTCCATAGACCTATTATTCAACCATGTATTATACAAGGTGATTCGAATGTGTTTCAACCTATTTCTATCCATCATCAATGTTTTTAGAACTTCCAAAGAGAAAAAAGCCATCAGTTCCACTTAGTTCTGATCATTTAATGTCAAACTTGAAGGATTAGTTATTCAATACCCACTGAAAAGTGAAAAAAATGTTTCACTACATCATTCGATCAATGCAGCGCTTAAAATTTTTGATGAATTCCTACACGAATTACTTTAACAACTTAACTTTGACAATACGTACAGAAACATTCTTAACAAATGTTCAAAATGATAACCATCATTTTCTGAACAAAGATATCCTCTTCTCACAGTTGCTTCTAAGACACTGTCCTTTAGTTCTTCTTCATCAAAGTTATTTGCGTATACAAAGTTTGATATATCCCCTAAAATAAAATACAGCTGTGTCAAATCAGGCGACCGCGCCGGCCAAGGAACTGTAGAATGAGTACCAATCCAATTTCTGGATAAAAACGCATGGACTTCTCTGGAATTATGTACCGGAGCGCCATCTTGTTGAAACCAACAGTTCTGAACTTCCGCAATCAGTAAATAATCCAGAGCTTCCTCAAGATGATTCTCAAGCAAATTTCTATATCGCTCGGAAGTCTGTGTTTCATAGGAAATAGAAGGATCAATAATTCGTGTACCAAGATAAATATTGCAACCCACATATTGAAGCCGAAACGGTGTTGGTGTCTCGCTGTAATGTATAAATGTTCATTTTCTCGTGAACAATAATGTGTATTTTTTCTATCGAAGATACCATGATTAGTGACCATGATTCCATCAGTCCAGATGATTGTTCGAGGGAAATCTGCGAAATTTTGACATTTCCTGGTATACCACTCACAAAATGTCCTGCGCCTTTCGTCATCGCCTGGTTTTTGCGCTTGACATATTCTGAATTTGTGGGGATGGAATTTTTGTTTCCGCAAAATGAAATGGGTTGTTGATTGGAACCAGTTGATGAGGTATCAGTGTGTTGACTAATTTTCCTTGAAAATGAGTGGAATTGATGGCGATGATGGCTACAAGTAGGTCGAAACACACATAAACCACCTTGTATAATACATGGTTGAATTTAAAATAAGAAAACCTTTCAGAATCTGTGCAAAAATTATCAGGACCACATTCAAAAAACAAAAGTTGATGATGGTTCCACCAATACGAAACGTCGCATAAAAAAATCGGTATCACCACGTTGAACGTCATCAAAAGTTGCTATGAAGAAGTATTCTTAGTTTTGCTGTATCTCTAATAATAACGGAGAAAAAAAATAGATATTCGAAAAATTCACTTTTTTCCAAATAACTCAAAAACTAAAAATAATTTTCAAAATTTTCGAAGGCTCTTGATATGAGCCTCCGAATGCGCAACTTTTTCTCCATTTAAACGACTTTATATCTCCTACCGTTTCCGAGATCCCCATGCTGTTCAACCTTATCTTGGACAGACTGTATATATAATCTGCGACCACGGAAATCCTCAGATATCAATTTCGAATTGAGCCGAATTATACTCACAATACTCGTCTGCCATATCCGCCATCTTGAATTTATTGATTTTAACGAAGCAATCATGATCTCCGGGCGAATGAATCATTATCTCAGAACCCGGAAACCCCTTGATACCAATGTTAAATATAATCGGATCATGATATCCAAACTCGTCCGCAATATATTGGTGTCGCCATTTTGAATTTCCAAATTTTGATGGAATAATAAGAATTTCCTAGGAAAACCTCCAGGTATCAATTTGAAATATAATCGGATCCTAATAACAAAACATGTCCGCCATATTGGATCCGTTATCTTGAAATTCCAAATTTTGATGAGGGAATCATGATCTCCGACCCAGAAAACCACCAGATACCAATTCCGAATAGAATCAGATCATAATGATCACAAAACTCGTCCGCCGTATTAGTTTCGCCATCTTGAATTTCCTAATTTCGAGGAACAAATCATATTATCGACTCCGAAAGCAATGGGGAAGACCACTGAGAGAAGAAATCCGTGCAAACCTCTTTCAATCGACGAATCATGATTTACGTTTGATGTACAATCAATATTATGAGTTGAAGTTGAAGGGAATCGAATCTATATCGTTTTGAAATCAGCATATTTCATTCGATATTACAAACAGCCAAATATGATGGTGGAGTCGTGACGTATTAGTGCCGAACTGTAGCTACCTCTCTCGGATACCTCGTCATTCTGCAGTGTTGCAGTGTGATTGGTCAGTTCAAGGACAATAGGCGTGTTGGGAATAAGACGTCGCACCAGTCACACCAATGAATTGACAAAATTTCAAATGGCGCAGGAATTGTGTGTTTTGAAATGGACATATTCTAATTTATTTTTTCCATCGTCTTAGCATGAATGACAAAATTCAAAATTAATTCGCCGGTAGTTTTTCAGTATATAGTTCACGATAATGTCATTTTAAAAAATCAGTGGTCTCCCCCATTACAAAGCTGTTGCGCCATATAGAAAACAAAAATTAAAACGTTCAAAACTGGTGTTAGAAGTATATTCATCAAGCTTATAAGTAAGTGAATTATGTTTTTTCAGCAGTGAACTTGCGGTGATACTACATTATACAATGCCTTAGACATTCCTCATATACATTGGTACTGAATTTGACACGAAGCTGTCTAGGCTGTTGTGGACCCTAAAAAATTGATAATGTTTGTTAAACTATTCATATAATCATGTCCACTAATAAAATATGTATGAAATTGAATCTAGCCATCCGAAATTCGATTCAGAAATCAATTTGAATATTCGACTTAATCGACTTATTTTTATAGAATAACTCGATGGAGGTTTGAGTTAATAATTATGAATACAGTGCTCAAAATGGAATGAGATTTGGAATAAATAGAAAAAGCTCAATGTCATTATTTCCACACAATGTTCATGAAATGGACAACAATGGTAGATTTTGGGAGAAAAACAACTACATTCCTGGTTAATACCACGCAGAACGTTGAATTACATCCTCCCGAAATCTATGCATCGACACGTATAAACGGATACTGATGAGAGTCAAAGAGCTCGAAACCGGTCTGTAGGTGTCTAGCGTGGCCTGGCTAAATCGAAATCAATAGGCATTCAGATGGTGTTGCTCTCATATTGTATATGGAGGACACCTCTGAGGGAATATAATGCCGACTTGATTTTTGTTTGGCTAGGCTACGCTCAGTCGGCGGTCTTAGGACTACTGACTAGAGACTGCCCTGAACTAATGAGAGTCGAAGAGCTCGAAACCGGTCTGTGGGTGTCAAGCGTGGCCTGGCTGAATCGAGATCGATAGGCATTCAGGAAATAATCACTTGTATCAGTATTCGTTTATACGAGTCGATGCATACATTTCGGGAGGATGTAATTCAATGTTCTGCGTTGCATTAGACAGTCAAGTAGTTGTTTTTCTTCCGAAATCTACCATTAGTGTTCATCTTATGAACATATTGTAACGTTCATTTTCTACGTTAGGTATATATCCTCAATTAAACACATTGATAAGTAACCTACCTCCATCAACTACCTGGTCATTCACTGTGAAGAGACATCATTTGATTTCTTAGCAACTTAGTAATCAGTTGGCCGATTCAATATCCACTGGGAGCAACGAGACAATGCTTAGCATACCTTTCAGTACATCTGACTTCTATTGTGATAAACATCTAATGAACGATCGCTACGTTCTGCACTGATTGAATTGTTGGTATAAAAGTGGGGCCGTGGGCATTGTATTATTGTTTACGTTGTTTGGAATTTTCGGGTTATATTACTCAAGTAAAGTTAGCTGGAAGCGGACTCAGAGCTGTTCTTCCTTTAGGTGATCATCGGTTCTCGTGCGTTCTCGCACGCCCTCGTGCTAACTGTCAGTCAGGGAACAGTACCTCTTGCACGAAGTGTAGAAATTGTGGGGTAGGGTAAGGTGCGATATGACGCAGAAATGACGCGGATTAAGGTGTGTTCGTGCTTGTGCGGGTTCCGCGAAATTTATGCGAATCGCAAAATATGAAATTCCCAACAGAATTCGACGTTTATACTCATGCGACAAAATATACTGGAGATAAGGGTTTTGTTGTCATATATAATTTCTTTATTTCTGGTCCCACCATTGATAGAAGTTCATCAAATTGAAGGCACGTTACACGACAGTAATTGAAATATTTATTTGGGTCATTCAGTCGCATTTATCAAATGAGGCTGTACAATCTTTTTATGCATTCAGAAATGCTTCCAACAGTACTTTGCTGATACTGTGAAATTGATTCGTGCAGGCGTGGACATACCTTTATCTGCTGCGCCCTCTCTCCTTGCATTCTGTCCCTAAAGGGATCGTCCCAGGTAATTTTGAATCGATGACCAGTGGATGACTTTGAGTGGGTGTTCTGTCTTTCGCTAGCTCTCTCTCTCTCTCTGAAAAATGGCTTGATTGCGTTTGACTGGCGTCTTCAGAATTATATTTGATTTTCATAATCATCTTTAATTAGGATTATGTTCTGAGGCCGCCATTTAGTGATTTGGGTAGTGATAATTTGTGTGATTCAACGTGTGTTGAGATTTTTGATCGATGACCCAAATCTTTCTCTTGTGAGGATATATTGTCGCCGCAACATTCCATAACCTCACTGGACATCGTGAAGTAATTGACGAGATGGAGAAGTCCTGATTGCAGGTGGGTTGATTTTTTTTTTGTTATCATGAGAAAGGATTTCTAACACTTCAAGAAGTTTGGGCTGTGTATATTTTGGGGTTAGTAATGGAATTTCGTTTGTATCAACAGCGCCTTAGGGACTGGCTAGATTTCCGATCATCCGTCAAATAGGACGGTCTGGAACTCTTAGAAGCTAGATTGGACACTGTCTAGAGGCTAGGTTGGTCACTTTGGAAAACCTGGAAAAACTCTGGTGCCTGATAGAAAGAAACCCCGATTTTAAGGGTAGGTTGATTTAATTTGAATATAGAAGTTACTATCTATTGTAGGCATCAACTGTTACACTATTGATTAAACTTTATATCTGGAAAATTGTGCCCTACGAAGTGGTCCAGAGAATTAAATCATATAGGTAACTGATTGAAGTAACTAAAATCACAACAGGCTGTCTAATTGATCTGTGAATATGAGTCCCAGATAAATTCCAGCTAAGTTAATTGATCAAACTAATTCATGAGACATTCTATCAGTCAAACTGTTCATCTCAAAGTTAGTTGGTTCCTCTGTTCGTGGTCTCCTCTTGAATTCCAGTGTGATGGAACTTGACAACTCATTCTGTGGCATCATAATGTAAAAATACCTTCCTACCTGGTCAGTTTAGTGTATCAGTATATCAGATACTCCTAGAATATTTTGCATGTTGTCAAGCAACCATGGTCTAGTACTTCGAATGCAATGGTACACTATATTATACTAGGAAGTAATATAACTTAAATTCTGTATTCGAATCTAATTCCATAAAAGTGTAGTGAGTTCTACTTTTGAATTTGAGATCAAATCTGATTTTGGGAGCCAACTAACCTTTGATGGTGCAGGTGTTGTTATACTTTTGGGGCACATGATCAAAAAAGTGTCTTATTGGTTGACTGCCTAGTCACTGGGGTGGGTGATGGAATCTTAGTCCAGGGGCAAGGGGCTGTTTCTTGGTTTTCTTTTTTTTTACTTTTCCTGGGGGATTTTGAAAATAGGGAATTGTGTCAAGGTACTGACATTTTTCTTCCCCAGGGTTTTAGTTGCGGGTTTGGTTCTGGGACCAAGATTTCCTCGGGTTCGTCAACCCCAAGTACTCGGTGAGGACTATACAGGGTGGCCCCCAATCGTAGTCTACATAAGGCGTCCCATGTGAAGCCCCTACCAGGTGGAGCACGTGGACTCTATACAGGGTGAACCAGTTAGAGCCTATACAGGGTGGCCCGGTCTAGGGCTATACAGGGTGTTCCTGATTCTGCAGTCGCCGAGGGAATTTTGGTGATGTTGACTTTATGTTGGAAGTGTTGTTGAATTTATTTGTGCTCTCCCCATTCTACTGACCTCTCCCTTATGAATTTGCTCAACCGGGATATTTGATTATCATGTTTATGATATTTAAATGACTTGTACCTGTTCTGCGAAACGATAAGCTACCATTAGGGTTTATGAATATCTGCGCATGCGCCTGAGCTCAAGCGACGCATTTACCCCGCACCCTACTTGAATTATTCTTTTCTCCTGAACGCTTCGCGGAATGGTTCAGTAACTTCAAACTAACTTAGCCATTGTTTGTTTATTTTGGTTGAAGGTCATAAGGGTGACCGCATCCCCTCTGTATAGGGTTTTTTTTTACTTGTGAGTTTCATTAAATGGGGAATTCTTAAGGAACTGTCTTGCATTTATTTTCATTTGTTGGCCCATACCACCTTAGATTTGATAGACTACCACTTGGTAATTTGTGGTAGTCTGTGACGTGCACATTGGGTGTTAGTGGAGGTAATTGAATTACCTGGCGCCCATTTATCGAACCCTCCCATCTCCACTGAAACGCTAGCCGAAGACCTTGGACCCTCGGGTTAATTTCAAGGTTACAATATCAGAATGACTTTGAAATTGTAGTTGAAATTACGTCAGTCGGACAACCAGACACTTCCGTATAGTAATTTCAGTTTTGGACTGTTTCTTCACTTCATTCCTACTTAGATGGCGTTTCTTTCATGTCATCTATGAGGAAATATAATGCCGACTTGATTTATGTTTGGCTAGGCTACACTTAGTCGGCGGTCTCAGGACTGCACTGATGCTCGAAAGTGGTCTGTAGGTGTCTAGCGTGGCCTGGCTAAATCGAAATCAATAGGCATTCAGGAAAGGATAACTTGTATCAGTATCCGTTTATACGAGTCGATGCATATATTTCGAAGGGATGTAATTCGATGTTCTGCGTGGCATTTGCCAGGGAAGTAGTTTGTTTTTCTCCCAAAATCTACCATTGTTGTTCATTTTATGAACAACTATAGTTGATGCTTTAGTAACTCATCCCAAATTCCATCTCATATGCCCTAGTAGCACAGGTGTGTTAAATGACGTCATAATGACATTGGTCCATGACGTCCTCGACTTCAGAGAGTACTGAAAATGACGTCATGTTTCATGACGTCATATTGACGTATGTTACTTTAGGTCTCAACAAAGTCAACTTTTTGTCATTCGTACACTGAACTTATTGAGCTCTCTTGATATTCTCTACAGAATGTGCGATAGAATCTTAATCCCCTTGATCATCAGTTTGCGGAGGAATGTGAATTATGTCATCTTTCGAGTGTACCTACATAGGTAAAAAAACTCACTCCTATATTCATTGATTCACACATGAGAAATACATTCGGGAATCTGATCTACAGGGTGAGTCAGTAGTGTGTTCTCCTTCGATATTCGCCAGAGGGCCAGAGCTGACTAGATTCCTTTCTCATCCAGCCGACATTTGCCAAACCATCAGATATGTAGAAAAAATTCAAAAACAACCACTATAGGTTTGCATAAGAACTATCACCTGAAATTGTTGCAACATCTTCAGGGTATTAGAATTTCAAGATATCGGCTGATGATGGGATTTCATCAATACATAAGACTTCTGGGAGTCTAGCGGGAAAGATTACAGAGATTATGGTTGTTCACATTCCATATTTTTCAAA